ATGTCGTCTGTACCGTACAAGCAAGATATGCCACCGAAAGGTGGCTACGGCCCCATTGCTTATAAACGCCATATACCGAATAGGGGAGTTTCTGGTGAGTGACACATGTTTGCTTTATTTATCGTAGAGTTTTGTCATTGCTGTACTAAAGCTATACGCTATTTTTGGACATTTACCGTACACCGGTTAGCTGAACTCTTCTGTCGAGCTCTAGTCGGGTCACGTATACAATGTGATATAATTCGCATAGTTCTGTGTACAGGTCTGTGAATGTGGAGATGGTAGTTTTCATTAGTACCTTGTCGGCATCCCCGCACACGGGTTTGAGTGCCATCAAGTCCCAATGTAAATAACATCCCTGCAACAACCATGTACGGTGCACATGAAAACAGTTTTGCAGCTGTCGATCGTTTTCAACCAATCATCATCGGAAATACTACATAACCCAAACTCTCCTGCCCCTCCAGATAACTATACGGGTCCTGAAGAGGGGCAATTAAATTAAGATGGGGGAGGACGGACACTAGACGGGGCAAAAATATAATAATAGTAACGAGTGAGGGCATCCTAAAGAACTCTTATCTCCTTCTGTACCCCACACCTTAAACTTAACTCTAACCCCAACCCTCTAACAGCCTCCTAATTTAATTATGTATGCCACTGTTCAGGAAACCTATAGCTAAAGTATGGGTTGGGGTACACAAATAAGTCTTTCCCAATTATCAACACCAGATATGGTAAATTTATCTTACTCCATTGTTGCTGTGGCAAGAGAAAATAAAAACATCAAATATAGCTGCAAAACTGTATCAAATACAATCTATAGTATTATTAAACCATAGATAATAATGCTTTCCGTAAACTGTTGGGGTACGCCCGTGACTGTAGCGCAAGCACTATGTTCGTTGAAAACCGTACAAACACATTAACCAGTTTATATAGAAAGCTAATTTATGCTTTTATGGATCGATTACAAACATCAAACAATACGCTTGTGTGTGCCTTGCTCAATAGTGATGTGAGATGGAAGTCTACTTTAGTGCAGCATTGGACAAAGGTAGTCTACTGAGTTTAGTATAGTTTTCAAATCTGTATGGTTTGTAATTTTATTTCATTACATATTTGTTTGTATCTTTTTCTTTATATATGGTCTATGTCTGAAATAAAACCATAATAATAATAATAATAATAATAATAATAATAATAATAGAGGCACTTGACAGAGTCTGTGATTAATTTGTTGAAAAGTTTAACTTATTCCATGTTGAATAAATCGGAGTAACCGGAGCTGCAAAGTTCTTTATATTTGTCTGCACATGATGTACGCATTTCATCAGTTTGTATTTTCGTAAAATCTTGTAATGATGACTAAACATAGGTAACATCATGTTGAAGATTAATCAGTTCAAGTTAGTATGATACGTATTGTACTATAGCTGTGATTACCAGTGATGTTGTATACACTGCCTAACATGCATCGTTTCTTATAGGTTATATGATGTTTTTGGGATGTGCAGGTGCAATGACAATCGGAATGATTGGTCTTGCCTATAGCAACAGACTCAGAAGGTAGATTTATTGTTGTTGTTGTTTTTATTGTTGAATGACAATTATCGATGTAGATATATTTGCTGCGTTTACATGATCGCATTTTATTGGAGCTTGAGAATGCTTAAACCACCAAAAATGGCTGTGTTCGGCTCGAGCCAAGTTCGGCTCCAATACACCCTCAGGTTAAACTCTAAACAGAAAAATAGCGTACAAAATTATGCGACAAAAAATTGAAGGGACGACTGAACATATCCAATGGAGATTGAAGATACTTTTTAAAAACACCAAAGATTTAAATCAGAGTAATAGTCACAGTACGGCGACGTGTTCCTACTAGGTTTAGGTTGACAATTGGTAATTGAGGAAGCTGTTATGTTCAGCTCTGAACAAACTAAATTGAACTTGGGCAAATCTCGGCTCTCGTTCGGCCCTGACTGTGTGA